TTTTTTTAAATTGCAGAGTAGAAGGTCCCCTTAATTTGATTGTAGAAAATCATAAAACACAAAATTATTATTATTATTATTATTATTGTAATAAGTTTGAGAATATTATAATTAAAATAATAATAATTGAATAGATAAAATATCATATTAGTAAACTGTTCGTCGATAAATTTTAGTAGATGCAACGATGACAGACGAGCAGAAGGGTTGCTTGACAACCCGTTCATCCTGTTGACGGGTCATTATGTTCTAACGTGATTATGTCAGTCAAATGTCACGAGGATAGATAGCGATTAGTTAAGATAAGTGTAGGCTAGCAAAATGTCGTGTTATAATCTGCAATTATAATCTTTCTGTAAACTTTTCAAACTTTTCAACTCTTATATATGAATTTTGATCTATTCAAAGTTATCTACAATATTTGTCGTAGAGAGGAAAAAAAAATTCATTTGAAAAATAGAAAAAAAAATGCAGAAAATAATATTACAAACGCATATATATATAATACATCTATTAACCACTTGACATACATGACATTATTTTATGTGCCATTGTAGACTTTGACGTCTCCAAAATGTCAAAAATTGTTTTCGGTTTTTGTATCTGCTTTATGAAATATCACAAAATTTCCCATCGGGTCACTCTGGTGGGTGGACCATTCTACTATTGGTTAATAAGTTGCATTCAGTTTCTTCCCTCTCTAAAAGGGGTGTAACTAATTTAGATATAAAAACATGTGAAATCAAGTAAGACACTGTCTGCTCGTAATATATACTCTCTGTTCGTAATACATTTGCTTTGTTAATACGTCTTCATCGTTATACATCCTATTCGTTATACATTCGTGTGTTATACATTTAACACATCATACATTTATACAGTTAACATCAAACAATTGTAACACATAGTCGCCAAGAATTAAATTAATAAATCATTGTTGACTGTAGAATTGCCTTTAATATACTACAAAACCACTCACACCGTATTTATTAATATACCGTCGTGAGACTTTCGTATAAAACGTGCGTATAATTGCAACTTAAAAATTGTACGTTAGTTTGAAACGGATTCGCGTTAACATAACATACAGTGCGCGCGAACATATTTTATTTGTATGTCAAGTGGTTAATATAGTAACAATCATTAAAGTAAGATTAAAAAGATCAAATTAATCTATACACGCGTTTAGATGTGTTTTTTTTGTCGGATGTAGTAAAAATTCTAATTGATTTTAAAGTTTTGAAAGAGGGAAAGGTAGAAAAGAAAGTAATAAAGAATGATAAGAAATGAAGCAAAAATAAAAAAATAAAATAATAGATTTCCGATGAGAAGGAACGATACTATACTTACCTGAAATAGCAGCAGCAGCAACAGCAGCAGTAGCAGCAGCAGCAGCAGCAGCAGCAGCAGCAGCAGCTTTTAATCGGACCTAAGGAAAGGGTGCTAATTTTTTTACAACTCCACAGAGAAAGCTTCTTCTAACACAGAGAAAGAAAAAGAAAGAAAGAAAGAAAGAAAGAAAGAAAGAAAGAGAGAGAGAGAGCGGGGGAGAGGGGGGACTTTAAAGTGTGCTTTAACGAACGCCAGTGCAAAATCCTTACTTCCTCTTTTCGAAACAAGAGAAAGAAAGAAAGAGAGAGAGTGAGAGAGAGAGAGAGAGAGAACAAAAAAAAAGGAAGAAAGGAAGAAAGCGTCGATGAGAAACTAAAAATTTTCGTCGTCGAGTAGAATACCTGTGTGTTATCCCCCTCTCCCCTCTCTCTCACTCTCTCTCTCCTTTCTACCCTCCTCTTCCTTCTTCCTTCTTCTTTCAGCCCTTTTTACTCCTTTCCTTTTCACGATGCTTTTCGTTTTCTTTTTTCTTCTCTCGGGAAAACGAGCGGATTTTCTCTCTCTCTCTCTCTCTCTCTCTCGCTTTCTCTTTCTTTCTTTCTTTTTGCTATCGCTTTTGTTTCAAGGATAAAGGAACGATCCTCGTACATTTTAAGCTTGACGACCTGGCCGATGTAATTGCCCGTCCCCATCCCGGAGATCATAAAATTTGAAAGTAACTGGCCAAGCTTCAAAGAAAACTCTTTAACATGACTTTGGTGTGAAATTATTATTCGTTCCTTTTCTTTTGTTTTATTTTTATTTTTATTTTATTTTTTTTTTTTTTTTCATTCAAATTCTTCATTTTCTTTCTTTTATAATACGATTTTTCTTTATGGTTAATTTTTTATACCCTCTGAAAAAAAAATATTTGAAAATAAAACAGAAAATAAAAAACGTACCTGCTGCGTATTAATTAAGTACTTTATCATATTAGAACATTAAAATCTTTATAATATAATAACAAAATTGTCTCTCTCTCTCTCTCTCTCTCTCTCTCTATTATTATTATTATATCATTATACATATATATATATATATATTTTTTTTATTATTAGGATATTCCATCGCTCTTGGAGAAATTCAAGCGAATTGCTTTCTAGAACCTGCGTCATATAAGTAGTAATATATATGCAGATGAAAGGTGGTCTCACCCTTGTATACGGCTCTATTATTAAGTAGTATAAAAAAAAGAGAGAGAGAGAAAATAAAAAAAAATAAAAAAAAAAGGAGAAATGGTAGTAGTTGTTGGTAGTAGTTGTGTAGCAGTACTAAGGTAAAAGTATATATATATATATATACCATTATACATATATATATATGTGTGTGTATACGTGCGTGAGCTCGTGTTCTTTTGGTAACTCATTTTCAAATCACTTTGCGTGATGCGAACTCTACTCTGTGTAGAGAACTTTCTCTTTCCCTTTCCCCTTTTTCTCCCTTATTATATTATATATACTATACATATTTTTATATATATGTATAAGTAATGAAATTTATATTTTATATTCATGCAAGCAACGAATGACATTTATGTTTTGTCTTTATTTAATTATAATCAACATTTCGATGCTTGTCTATCATTTTTATATTTGTTGTATTTTTATTAATTTTTGTTATTGTTTTCTTATTGTTTCAGGATTATTCGAAACGGATGGACTGTTAATACCTGGAACGATGTGCGACCACGAGTTTGTCAGTTCGCAATTAACCCCTCAATACGGACGATTCTTCTCACCACGTTACCCCTCATCCTATCCGAAGAACATTCGATGCTCTTACCTATTTCGTGCGAGGTAAATGATCCTTACTTTAATCCACTAATCATTCACTGAGATATAAGATATCCCCCATTGATCCTTTCTATATATATATATATATATTACGTTTGCAACAGTATTTTTTATTTCATAATCAATAGAAACAAATTACTCGATTAAATCTAATTAAAATATTGTATATATTTTATATTTTTATATACTATATATATTTTAAATTATTTATTTATATTATATATTTATTTATAATATAATAAATGTATATACAGTAAGGAGCATAATTGAACCACTAACCACTAGTTTTGTATAAATCTTTATACAAATATTATATATTATATTTTTTTTTAATAAATAAAATAATTTAATAAAAAAAAATAAAAATAAATTTTTATACAAATAAATATTATAAATAAATATATGTATTATAAATTTATTATATTATATAATTTAATATATTATCACATATATATTTTTATTATATATTGTTTAAATATTTTATATATTATTATAATTTTATATATTTTTTTAATATTATATATATTATTATATTTTTATATATTTTTTAGATATTATTTTAAAAAGTTATCTATATTAAATAATCGAATCACGTTTTTCATTTCAATCGATTGAACTTTCAACGTTATTTATTATTTTTTTATTAGTTTTATTTCTCTATTTAATTACTCCAATCAAATGTTTCTTTTTTTTCTTCTTTATAAATATATTATCCCTACTAATTTAAATTATACCTAATTAAATGGTTAATGAAATCATTAAATCATCAAAATAAAAAATTCTTTTTCCTAGAACGTATTTTAAACGAGATAAAGTTAAGTAATAAATCAAGCAATGCAAAAGAGAGAGAGAGAGAGAGAGAAAGAGATCAACACAGTCAGAATGATTTCATGTTAATCGAGTAATCCATGTTATCTGTGAACCATAATCGATTTACTACTAATCCATATATAATGCACCTTGAACCCCATTTCTGACTGGTAAACTTATATACCCAATATTCTCACGTAATAGATTTCCTAGTAATCCGTAAGGTAACTCTCGATTAATTAACGCAGACTCGATTCCTCGAATCATATTCATTTTGTTCCATCGATTGATGATCTCTCACAGTTAGATTAAGATGAAAATAGATAGAGATAAAGTAAGAAAGAAAGAAAGATTATTATCCAACTCTTTTATAGTATCCACGTATCCTTTATAAAATACTATGAAGCAATTGTATACGCTCACGTCATCGAGATTTTTGCTTACCCCCCCTTTTCTTTTTCTTTTTCTTCTTATTTTCTTTTTTTTGTTTTTTCCTGTTCTTGGCGCATTCGCGTCAGCTAGAAAATTTTTGCCCCCTTCCCACCCCCTTCTCTACCCCCACCTGCTCTGCACAATCATCGTGTGCGATCCAATTTCGTTTCTTTCTCGATCGTGGCAAAACGTGAAGAAGAAAAGAAATGAAATAAAATAAAAAAAAAGAAAAAAAAAGAAGAAAAAAAATATAAAACAGTCTAGAACAGTCAAGTCGAAAAGTTTCATCGTTGAAATATAAAATGAAAAGAAACAAATCAAAAAGAAACAAATCAAAAAAAAAAAAATAATTAACAAAAAAGAAAATAAAAAGAATAAATAACAATAAAATAAAATAAAATACATATAATACGAAATACATAAGAGAGATTTGTGTCTTGTTTAATTAAATATTTCAATACTTTAAATTTTTAAATTAGGTTGCCATGAAATAAATTTAAAAAACTTCCCCCCATTCTCAAAAAAAAAAAGGAGAGGAAGAAGAACAAAAAAGGATACTACACGAATTAATCTCTCGTCAAAGGAATAAACTCATCCGGAACATTTTTTATGGTTTCAGTGTTACTACGCATACACATACACATACACATACACATACACATACACATACACATACACATACACATACACATACACATACACATACATATATATATATATATATATATATGTAACTATGGTGGTTCCTTTTTCGTTAAATTAACGCAGTGTCGAGGAAAGAGTTGCTCGTTGGGTTTAGGACAAGGTTCGCGTGGCACTTTGAAAATAGTGGGCGCATAAAAGTACTGGATAAAAGTGGGATGCAGGTGGTGGGAGGATAGGGTTTAGGGTGAGATGGGTGGGGGGAAAAAAGAAAAAGCTCTCGGTAGTTCTCGGCACACGGAATATCGTGCAGAAGAGAAAGCCGTCCTTTCCTTCTATTCTTCCTTTGGAATTTCGAAACAAAGACGTTGTGGAAGTATAGAATGTGGAGAAGATACCATGGATGCTGGCAATATCATGACAATGAGCTTTTCTTTTCGTTTAGGATTAATAAAAAAAAAAAAAAAAAATAAAAAGAACAAAAAAAAAAGGGAGAGAGAGAGAGAGAGAGAGAGAAAGAGTAAAAGAAACTCTAGATAGTGAGAAAGAATTCTAAAACTAGGTGGAATATGAGGAAAGGGGGGTGGAATGGGTGGCTAGGGTGGAGTGGAGTGGTTGAAGTATATCGAACTCGTGGGAGATTGTTTTTTACAAAAATCTTTTTTATTTTTTTTATTTACCCTTCTTCTTTCCTCTTTCCCTCTCTCTTTTAAACAATACAAAAATCAAAAAAATTATTTCTTTGCTTTTTTTTTTTGTTTCGTTTCGTGTATCACGATGGAAGATTTAAATTTCTTTTTATTTTTTTTTATTTTTTTTTTTTTATTTATCAAATAGCAATCGAGTAAGTTTGAATAGTATTGAAATTAACTCGTTTGTGGAAGTGAATGTTATAGTATATTTTAAATATTGTTTTGTATTTGTTAATTGTTCAATTAACTTTTTAAAAAGTCTTTCGATTTTATATTGACACAAACTAAATGTGAGTGTATTCATCGAAGAAATTTTCATTAATTTTTTGTACCCCTAAATATAATTTTCATTTAACATACGCGTAACACAAAATAATAAATTAATACGTAAATCTAACAGTTACATTATTTTACATTAAATTAGTAGTCAAAGGGTTTTAAATAAAAACTTTAGTCAATCTTAGTTTGTTGTCATCGTCAAAACGATCCTTTTACGACGATTGTCTTCTATGAACGGTTCGTGTTCAATCCGATTCCTCGCAATCATGAGAAATAATAGTTAGTGTGGTGGTAAATACGAAATGTGTCTCGTCGTATGTTCGAACGTAACTATGAGTTTAATCGTTGCTACCGACGTATGCAGATAGAATTTCCCAGGTAACATTGTGCTTTCCCCGTTTAATTGTAGTAATTGCATCAAAGTAGTATTCGCAGTTTGGCTACATGTTGTTGGACGGGATACACCACGTCCACGTTATGCCAGCTTTATAATTGTGATTGAAATTATGTAGCTCGTTGAATAAACCTCGTAAATGTGAATATGGATCGTATCCTATCCACCTCTTTCCCCTCTCCTTCCCCCCCCCCCTAACAAACCTCACACTGCAATTCCTTTCGTTCCCATTTTACTGATTTTCATCGATTTTGACTCATCCAATTTTTTATTTATCTTCTATTTTAAATAATCTTTTGAAATATCAATCAATCGTATTATTTAACGATTATTCAATAATAATTGTTTAATAATCTAACATGGTGTATATCATTAAGCAATTTCATTGGGGATAAATTTCATTGGAAATTTCTAATATTAAATGTAAGAAATAAGATTAATATTTAAAATGTGAATTTATACAGATAATTTATCTGACTCATCTGATATCGATTGGGTTCTTTTTTTCTTTTTCTTTTTATATCATTTTTAATAATCTTTTGAAATATGAATAATTATGTGGTAAATGATTTTAATAGATATTCAACAAATAATTGGTAATAATTAACATTAACATATTATTGTAATGCAATGAATTATTCGTAAAGATTTGGAAATTTAATTAAGAAATTTGTGATAAATTATTGTATATTACTGTTAAGTTAATTCTCTTACGTGTAAGATAAATTTATTCTTGAGATATTTGATAATAGATGTGTTGCAACGTGCTCTAGTAAGATAATCTTGACCTTTGAATTCATGTCCATATTATCATAAGTCAGTTGTGAATCTTCTTATCCAAAATGTTCTTCCGAACTTTCTCTCATTGAAGTTTAGTCGAAGTTACATTAATAATAAGACTTTCGTTCCATTTGTTTTAGACTCAAGGAGAGGATTCAAATAGTATTCGAAGAGATTTCTCTACAAAAAGGTGATCTCAGGTAAGTATTATTATCTCTAACTAAATATCACACATTTCATTTTAGTTCTTATCTCTAATATAATATGTTACAAAATATAACATAATATGCAATAATATATATATATACATATATATTTAATAATTATTATTATTATCTCCAACTAAATATCATTTCATTTTAGTTCTTTTATCTCTAATATAATGTATTACAAAGTATTACATACATTACATATATATACATATATGCAACACAGTATATATATTTTATATGCATTAGGGTGCATATATATGCAATATTATATATATATTATAAATAATTTATGTATTAAATAAATATAAATTAAATAATTTATATATTATATATTTATATATATATGATAAATATTTTATATATTAAATAAATTAAATATTTATATAATATATAAATGATTTAATAAATTCATCTTCGCTTTGGGTATAATATTATCAATGTTGATTCGATCATTATGCAAAGTAAATTATTCATAGATCTTAAATATGTATTAATACAATGTGCATATTCAATTAACACGTACACTAAATTAAAAGGAATAATTCGTAGCCCCACGCCACTCTCCGCAACGTTGCAAATTTATTAAAAAAAAAAATAATATCAATTTGAAAACAAAATGATTAGCTTCTAAGATTATTTGCACAGGAGTTAATAGTAGGATCATCCGATTGTATAGTATTTCATATTTTCTTCTTTTTTTTTTCTCCTACATTTTTCTTTTTTATTTTTTGCCAGTATCCTGTTAGATACTATCGTAATCGAGTAATATTGGAGTTAAATTTCCATATTGATCGTTGAAACTACGATACGTAAAATTTTTATCTCTCTCCAGTTCTTCTTTCAGTTTTTTTTTTTTTTTTTTTTTCCCCATAACGGATCGTAATAACTTTCGCCTTCTCCCATCCCCCATTTCCCATAATCCTCACCACCCTATTTCTGGATCAAGAAGAGAGAGGATAAAAAAATATATATATATATATACATATATATTAATATATGTGTGTGTGTATATATTTGAGAAGGCAGTTCGCAAAAAATCTCTGTTTCGCAAAAGATTTTCGGTATTAAATCCGGATATTACGTTACGTTATGGGGAAAGGGGAAGGGGTTGGTAAAATCTAATGAACCATCAAACTAATCAAATCGTTAATCGTTCAAATATTTGCCAAGTGGTAGTTAATACGATAGTAATGCTATATATGTATATATATATATATATATAAGTATATATGTTTCTGATACAGAGAAGGATTTCGAGATAATCCTCGTGAAATGTAGACACGATTGGAGACACTGACTCTGACAGCTAGCAAACAGGATCTTCGATCTTTATTTCATCCTTTTTCTTTTTTCCTCTCTCTCTCTCTCTCTCTCTCTCTCTCTCTTTATTTCTTTTTTTTCTTATTTCTTTATTTTCTTCTCACTCCTTACCTTTCTATCTTTCTCTTTCTCTCTCTCTCTCTCTCTCTCTGTCTCTATTACATTTTAGTTTGATTCTTTTTCTTTTTCCACCCTTTGCATCGTTCTCCTTTAAGAAAGCACCCTCGTGTCCTTGACAGTAGTATCGTTTAAGATCACGATACTAATTCAACATTTTCTTCTATTTCCACTCTTTCTCTCTCTCTCTCTCTCTTTTTTTATTCTTTCTCTCAATCAAAATTTCGATTTCTTTTATTATTTTATTTCAGTATATAAAACATTCTTATATATAATGTTATAATATTATATAATGTTAAATTTATATTATGTTATATTTTATATATATTTTATTTCGTATTTTATTTTTTTTTATATTAAATATATTTTATTTTTTATTTTATTTTATTTTTATATTAAATATTTTATATCTATATATTTTATTTTTATATTCAATATTTTATATATATATATATATTTTATTTTATCATATGTTTCTATTATATATATTATTTTAAATATAATAATTATAATTATATATATATATATATATATTATATATTATATGTTTATATTATATACATTATATTTTAAATATATTAATTATAATTATATATATTACGTTAAGATATATAGACATACGTATTACTAGAAATTTGTTGAAAAACAAATAATAATTGTGATCTATTATAAATGTTTGAAATTGTAGATTATTGAGAGGAAAAAGTATTCAAATTTATGGTAAAATAATGGGGGAAGGGAGAGAGGGAGGGAGGGGAAATTGATCTAAGATATTATCAGTGAGTTTAGATGGTGTAAGAATAGGAAAAGAAGATAGCATATTTTACGGTTAGCAATACGTCAATCGGTTAATGCTTCCGATATTGCCATCATAAATCTGCCAGCCGCCAATACTAAAGGTTTCACCCTGTACTCTTCTTCGGACGAGTTACCACAGCTTCTCTTTCTCTTTCTTTCTCTCCCTTTCTCTCTCTCTCTCTCTTTTCCTATCTCTTTCTTTTTCCTTTTCTTTTTCATTTTCTTCTACTTTTTCTCTTTCGATACCCCCGGAGAATTTTCTTTGCTTTTTGGCACAAGCTATGAACAAGCTAACGCCAGCTATTATCGCTAAGAACATTTTTCAATTTAATGTCATCTTCTTTACTTTAATAGATTTCTCTCCTCGTAAAACCGATTTCGATTCATGGGAGCAGAGGGGGAGGGGGAGGGTGGGGGGGAGGTCTGGGAAAGGGTGAGAAAAATTAATCAATGACAATTTCACGCTTCCTAAGCGCTAATTACACGATATCAATCCGATCTTCCATGTAAGATTTCCCATAAGGGTAAATTCAAATAATAAAGAGAAACTAAAATAATCAAAATAAAAGAGAAACTTTTTAATCAACCCTTTAATTTATAAATATATACGTAATAACAATATTTTATTTTAAAACTTATTATCATCGTAAATCGATTTAAAATAACATTTATTACAGTAAATAGATTGAAATAACACGTAGATTTTGGTCAGAGGTAAGATTAGTTTTGGATTTAAGGAGTATTCAAAGATCAACTCGATTAATAGTTTGCTTTGAAGGAAAGGATGAGGAGTGGGAGTGGGAGTGGGTGTGGGTGGTTTAGGTAGCCCTTTCGACTGCTATCTTTTAAAATCCCGTAATACCTGGCATGGTTGACCTTTAAATCCTTTGAGCGGGCCAGAAGACCATGATTCTGCTTAACCCACATAAAGTTAACTATCTCTTTCTCTCTCTCTCTCTCTCTCTCACACACACACACTTCCCTTTTCCCTTTTACTTCCTCTCTTTTCGTCTTTACCCGCGAGAAGACTTAGGAGAACCTAGGATGTCGTGATGGCAACGTCGACTTGGTAAACGAGAGGTACCCAGGGACCTTCAGCTGCACTCCTCGTAGGAGTTAATCCTTGATAAATCCTCCAACTCTGTCCTAATTCAGTATTGAGCTTCCTTAATTTCATTCTATCGGTGTGACCTCCTCTTACATCCCACCTCCCATCCAACACCCCAATCTTTCACGAATTCGACCAGATTAAAATGGAAAAACGTGACTGTGAAATGATTTTATTCTAAGTACAATCACGGGTTTCTTACAAACTCGTTAACTTTTCTAATTTATTCAATCCATTATTATATATTTTTTTTTCAACATATGGAAACCAAGGGATAATGTTGAACTTTCACAAGTCGTTTATTAAAAAAATAGTTTTATATTTATAATAAAATATTTTTCATCGCTGGCATAATTGTTTATTCATTCGTAAAATTGTTCTTACGTTCACGTTAGTTAGTTAAGGTAAATCTTGTTTTTCTTTTTTTCTAAACAATCACAAATTTCGAAAGAAAATATTACTACGACGAATTTTTTTTTTTTTTTTCTCTTTTTTTTTTGTTTTTGTTTTTGCAATAAAATTTCATAACAAATTATAAAGCAAATAGAAAAAAAATAAAATGTTAACTTGAGAGATAAAAAGAGAGAGAGAGAGAGAGAGAGAGAGAGAGAGCGTGCATGTTGTCTGTTAACGAACGAAATTTGATTGTCGAGGCGTGCTCGGCCAGGTGCGAATAATGAACAATTTCTACATCGTACTATTTCATTAGACGTTAGAGAACGAAAGCGTTAACGTTAGTTAACTACAACGGAAAAATAATCGTTTATGCGTGGGCGTGAAAGGTAGAAAGGTAGAAGAGTGGGCAAAATAATGAAATAACAAAATAAAACAATTCCAACAAACTTTGATCGTATTTATCGTTGTTATTGTTGTTACAATGTTTGTTTTCGATTCTGTATGGAAAATACGATTTTCTTCTCATTTGTAAAACATCGAACTAAAGTTGACAATCAATCGAAATGAGTTAGGTTGAATTGAATGTATATTGAAAACAAAAATTCCATTAATTCTTATAATTATATTTGATTTTAATCTGAACCTCTCACCCCTCAGCCTTACTTCAACCCATTTTCATTTCGTTTCTTTTTATCTTTCTTTATTTATTTCTTTCTTTCTTTCTTTCTTTCTTTTAATCTGAAACGAGTTAGAAAAGTATAGCTTGTGGTAAAATTCGGAAGAAGAGCGTGAAAGACCGAGTTTGAGAAATGCTTCGATATATCAGCGTTAAGCCGGTCTGTCAGACGCACTCGGATATTATCCTGAATAGAGCTGATGGATACGGAAAGACTCTTCTCTGCCAGACACTCGATATACACACACATTCGCAAAATCTCTCTTACATATATATAATCTAGGATATATACATATATATGACACACCAATATCATAAAGGTGTATACTTCATAAAGGTGATGTGTCGATTTCTTTCTACTTCATATATGTGCCCATAATTATGAAAGTGGTGGTCTAAGTCATGTATCTCTTGTTTCGAGATATTTCAAGATTTCTATTTTAACACTATATGAATTCTATGTAATATTAAAAACAAACATTATTTAAAGAGACTCATTTTTGACAATATCGTGAAAATTATATTGAATTTATTTAGTTTAAAATAATGTGGTTCGTAATAACTATTAAACTCATTTTTTTTTTTTTTTTAATTTTAACTTAGACCACTTTCATAATTATGGGCACATATTAATTACAAATGTAATTAAATATTACTCAATATATGTATATATATCAATATATGTTACAGTATATATATATATATATACAGTATATCTTAATACTGTACTATATATACTGTACTTAAACATATGTTACAAATATATATATGGACACTCTTCATAAAAAAAATTCATTATCATATTTTTATTTGATTTTATAATAATTCATTAATAAATTATATATCACTCACAGTCTGTGGAATTCGTACTTTATAGAATTTTATAATCGTATAATCGTGAAATTAATTAAAATTGTATTTCAACGAATAGAAAAGTCCATCACCATTCATCACCACGATGTGTGCGAGAGGGAGGTAAGGGAACGATGAAAAAAAAAAAAGAAGAAAGAGAAAAAAAAATAGGTATCAAGTTTTACAGTAGAGATGCTTGAACTTTAAAACGTTGAAAACGTTTGAAGAAAAGAAAGATCTCACTTCTTCTCGGTGAAGAAAATCCTACTGAAATTTGAGAGATAGTTAAAAGAAAGTAAGAATGACTATGGATAAAAAAAAAAGGGAACGCTAAGAAGAAGTAGAAGAAGAAGAAGAAGGAAATGCAGAAGAAGGACCGAGAAAAAAGGGCTAGAAAATGGTCTTTAATCTCTGGCTCCTTTCGACGATAATCTTTCTCTGTCAGAGTAATTGCTTAAACCGTGCGAGTAATAAGATTATTCCTTTCTCTCTCTCTTTCTCTCTCTCTCTCTCTCTTTCTCTCTTTTTAAATTTATTTTTTATTATTTTCTAAGAAAAGGTATAGGTACCCCTTACACTTCTTCATTTTTCTCATTTTCATCTTCAAGTTGTACTAATCGATCAAGAATATTTTAATCAAATCATCGATACTTTTTGGAAAAACTTGTTTTCTACGTTGAAGTTTCTCAAATATAAAATAAAATAAGCTTTTTTTTCTATTTTATCTATTTGGTATTTAATGGTGGAATTAAAAAGTGTCCCACAACCTTTTTGATGCACCTTAATGGTGCATCATGTTAACATTTCTTCAGACCCATCACGAAATTTTGCAAATAGCTGCTAGGGTTTATATTTCATCTTATTTACGTAAAGCATTTGTGGTTTTTATTATTTAAATAAATAATAATAAATAATTACCAAATGGTAATAATATCTTCAACAAATGTTACAAAACAAATTACAAATGTAATTAAAATATTATTCATTTTTTTTTCTCTGTGTGCTTTACATTACAAGATTAAATTTATTAATTTTATTAATTTTATTAATTTAATTATTAAAGTTTTATTAAATAAGGTTTTACATTACGCGATTTTCTTTATTAATAAATTAATAATAAATTTATTATAGGTAATCGTGTAATATATAAAATCTTATATAAAATAAAAAATCTTAAATTAATAAAATAAAAACCTTATTTAATAAAAAGAAAAATATATAAATTTTTTTATTTTAAGTAAAAACCTAATAATATTTTTATGATGTTTTTTTAAATAAAAACATAATCAAATTTCTATACATAAAATAGGGTTATTTTTTATTACATATAATCAAACGTGGATGTAAAAAAGAATTATATCATTTCCTATCTCTACAATTTTTCGTCATTCCTTTTCTTGGTTTCTTTGAGAGGGGTTGGGGGGATGAAAAGAGGTATGTGGCTAGCCACGAGAAAGTAATTCTCTTTCAACCGATCGAATAAAGTAGTCTCTATGTATACGTGTAGAAAAGGAATCGTGTAGGCTATCGACATCGGCTTGTTCGATCCTCTCATCTTCTTTCACAATCTCATTTTCTCTCTCTCTCTCTCTCTTTCTTAGTCTCTCACTCTCTCGTTTTCTATGTGTGTCTGATCCACACGTTCCGTAGATTCTACACGTTCTTCGTAGTCTCACCTTTCGATGTCCTTCTTCTCCTTCTCCTTCTCCTTCTCCTTCTCCTTCTCCTTCTTCTTCTTCTTCCTCCTTTTCCATCTCCATTTCTATCTTTTTTCTTCTACTATTTTTTTTTTCCTTTCTTTCTTCTTTCACTCTTTTTTTTTACTTTTTAACTTTTTTCCAGTCCTACGTTCCGTCTTCGAACACACACGGGGGTTCAAGTCTAACCTTCGATGTCCTTCTTCTCTATCCCCTTTTTCTTCTATCTTTTTCTTTTTCACCCTTTTAAACTACGTTTCTCTTTCCTTTACACGTTACATCTACGAATGTTATTTCTATCTTCTTTCTGTCTTCCTATTCTATTCTACATGTTTTCGCCAAAGTCTTATCTCTTTGACCTTCTTCGAAAAAAAGGGACGAAAGGAAAAGGAAAAGTCCGAAGAATATATATATATAGTGTGTCTCTTGAATCAATCCATTTTAATACTGAAAATATCCTATCGTCCTAGTGTGAGGTCTTAAAATTTATATCTGTCTTTCTCTCCCCCCCTCTACCTTTTACTACCCCCTCTCTTTTTATTTTTCATTCTTTTATAACGTGCTTTCAAATCTATTTTTATTCTCGTTAACGAACGTTACCAATCATTCGTACATTTTTAAACGCTCGTATATTATTCAATTTTATTTTATTTTATTATTTAATTTCTCTCAAACAAAAAATCAATACTTTCAAAATATCAAATGAAATATTTTAATTACTGAAGTATATATATATGTATATAAAACATGTTACAAGCATAGCGTACAAATTTTTCAATTTTCACGGTTTGTTTCTCTTACACGAGCTTAAAAATACTTCCCTTCATCCCTTCTTCACCCCCATGCTCTAAACACAACCAACTGAAGCATATATTCTAGATTGACCAAAACCCTTTGGGCATTTTAGAGATTGACCCAACAATGTACGAAAAACATGCTGAAAATATACATTGCCAAATCTTCTATAGAATATACAGGATGTTTCATTTAAATCAATGCACTTAAATATCTTCAGAAATTGTTAATAATAGAAAAAAGAAAATTGTGTCAGATAAAAGTTTATTTGTGTAGGTGGACGTGTAAAAGTCGTACAAAGATTTGCTTTGATTTTTTATAAATAGAATTAAATATATATTTTATATGCAATGGTTACTGCACCAGTTAATGCAGGTTTTTATTCCTGCATATATATATATATATATATATATATATATATATATTTAGAAACAATTAATTATTTATCAATTTAAGCTTCATTTAATTAAATTATTAAATTTTATTTTTATCAGTAAAAACAATTATATATACATATATATATTTTATTTTATTTTATTTTTATATTAAATATATTTTATAGATATATTTTAGGTTTTATTTTATATATGTTTTATATATTATTTTATATATATTAATTAAAATAAAAATAATATTAAATATAATTATATATATATATATATATATTACTTTAAATTCCCATTTAATTATATACATTACAGTATATAAGTTATTTAAATATTTTGTCTATGAAATAAAAACCATAGTATATATATATATATTATTAATAATTTATTTTGAAGATATTTATAATAGAAAGAAAATAATTAGTTGTTTAAATTAAACGATAAGTTATAATCTTTGACGTAATGCATTTCCTTGGGTGTTACAGTTGCCTGAATAGAGCAGACTTAATCAGGGTTCACGACGGAACGGATTCAGGAACGCCCACAATAGCCGTGCTTTGCAACCAAGGTGCAGAAGTAGAAGTACTCAGTACAGGGACAGACCTTTACGTCGAGTTTGTCGCTAATTCCGAGTGGCCTGGCCAAGGCTTCAAGGCGAAGTTTGAATTTCAGCCATTGGACGATTCGCCTCATTCCGGTTTGTAACATTAACGAAACTTCATACAATTTCACCTAATCTATTATTTTATTTCATGATTTTATTTATTTATCTTATTGTTAAAATTACGATAGGGATTTTCATTGAAAAAAATTGCAAATTTTCATTTCATTTATCTCGTGTTTTAATTTTGATTGTAATATTGATTTTGATTTTTGTAAATTTTGACAAACCAATTGGATTGTCTTCCTTTTTTATTTATTACTTTGAGAAGATTTGATTTTTTAAATAATTATCATTAAAACGAGTAAAATAAGATAAGACGAGTTATCGACACGAAAAGAAAGCTTTTCTAAAGTCGGTACTGTAGGAAACTTTAGAGCTTTCGATACAAGAGCTTTTATCTAACCGTCGGTATAGAAGATAACGCGAGCTTTACAACAAACTGCAATGATCGAGTGCAGAAAATCAAGGACTCTCTTCATAGAGTTCTAGTTTTACTGTCAACGGGAAAAGAATTTACTTTTACCTATGGTCAAAATCAACATCCCTTCATTTTTATTTATTATGACTAGGTAAAACACAATTGATGTTACATACTTATCAAATTTGACCAATTTTTATTAAAGAATAACGAACAATTATTTATTTTCAATTGTAAATAAAAAAAAAAAAATATCTCACAAGCAATTTAACCATTCATTTCTCAACAATCACTTATTGTTATACATAATTATTTCAATAAATCATAATTTATAATTACTTAATCCTTCGTACGAATAGAACGATCGTAAATAACAATTAAGTTGGTATTTGTTATATCAGTATGATCGTTAAAAAGTCATAAGATAATTTCGAGCTTGAGATATGAATGAGAATGATTAACGAACACTATACATATATATATATATATATTTAAAGGTTTGTGAGCGTATATACATATATATATACGTGTTTAGAATAAAAATGATGGAAAAGGATGTTGGTGTTTACAGTGCTATAAATCATGGACCGAAACCATTCGTATTAAGGCAGATTGCCCGTGTTCTATCTAACACGAAACTCTCCCTGTCGTAATTAACGGCACTGTATATTCCAGGGATAATTACAATAATGTGTTTCAGAGCTGGACAAGGTCGTCCCAGGGGCCGTTACTGGTAACCCTAGGTACTCGGTCATCGGGCCGGCTGTCAGCGCAACCAGTAAGTGCATATCACTCGGCTTATAATTAATAAACCTTCCTAATCATCTTGTCAAACTTGTGTTAATCGAATGGAGACAATGATAATGTTCGTATTATTGTTTTAAACAAAAAGATCTAATTCAATTTTATAAACTACTTGATTATCTCAACTTGATCTTGAGAACAAAAAGTATTTTTATACGACTATTATATATATATATAGATGTATTATATTATTAACTATATTATAGTTTATAATTAAATTAATTATAGTTTACAATTAGTATAATAATTATAATTACTATAATTAATAATTATTAATTATAATTACTATAACTAATTGTAATTACTATATTAATTACTAATTATAGTTTATATTATAAACTATCCTTTGAGATTATTATTGAAAGCATATTTAACACGTTCGGTTATCGTTATTGACGAACGATCGAAAAACGATAATAATTAATTAGGTCATTCTTAATATATATAATAAATAAATATAATATATATATATATATATATATATATATAT